GAGACATCCTGAAGGAGGAATTCCCCCCTGTGTGTTCTGAGGCGGAGTCCAATATAAGCTAGCTCTGTAGCCCCAGCTGGGGGTAAACTTGCATTCCCACCTCAGTCTCCCAAGTGTCGGGACCCCAGTGTTGATTACCATCTCTGCTCAGAGACTTGTCTTCAGCTTATCTTGATCATCTTGTGAACCTCAGGTGTGTGCGGTTTCTCTGCTGAGCCCTATTCATCTCTTGTGGGCTTCTGGGTTTCCATTTCTCTTCCCTCTACAAACCTAACTATGTGTCTCTGGGGTCCATACATAGCTTCAAGCTTGAAGCCTGAGTCGGTGATGCATAAGGAGAAGCCCAACACTTGGGAAGTTGAGGCAGGAGGACCACCATGAGTTCAAGGCCAGTCTGCACTTTGTAGCCAGACTCTGTCTTAAAAACCTGCAAAATGAGAATTCCTGAGCTGAGGGTGATGGCATATATCCCTGTATGGATGGGGAAGGGGAACTGGGAAGAGTTCCACAGAATGAGACCCAGCACTGGGAGGCAGAGGCAGGAGTATCTCCGTGAGTTTGAGGCCAGCCTGGGCTACTTATCGAGTTACAGGACAGCCAGGGCTACAAAGTGAGACCATGTCTCAAGAAGAAAGGGGGAGGAGGGGCAGGGAAGAAAAGGAAGTAAGGAAAAGATCCAGAAGGAAATGCCCAGAGCCCACGACTTTTTAGAAGCTGGACAGGCCCAAGCCAAAAGGCAGAGGTACAAGGCTGGGGTATAGGAAAAAGGTGTGGAGGTCTTCCAGAGACACAGCCATCAAAACCCTCAATTAGGGGACAAATTAAGGAAGACCGGGGCTGGAGGGTGGAAAGACACCACCAAAGCTCTCCAGCAAGATCACTCTGGAGAGGTGTCAGATTTCTGTTCCTGTCTCCCCACACCCTTTACAACTCCCTCCCTGACGTCACATTTTCCAGTCTGGCCACAGGGGTGAGGGCCTCTCTCCCTGGCAGGAAATGCCCTTTAGCCCCCTGCCACCTGGACTGGACTACTCAGCGCCCAAACCCTTAGGCTCCCTTCTCCTGGGGACCAGGCCTTCCTACCCTGAACCCCTTTTCTTCCCTGCAACTAAAAGAGTAAGGGAGGAGATGGAAAGGTGACCCAGGAAAGAGGATCGTCAAAGATCATAGGACAGAGGGTACAACAAGCAGAGATACAGGGGTGGAGAAGGCTAGGCAGAGTAGGAACTATAAAAGTACAGAGGCTAGCAAGGTACAGAGAGATGGAGGACACAGAGTGTCCCAGGAGTGAGAGACTTGTCAGGAGAGACACAGTGGCAAGGTTGCCTCAGGCAGTGAAAGAATCCAGGGCTAGGGACCACAGAGAAGCAGGAGACAGGAGAGGCCAGCCTCAGGGAAAGAAAACCTGGGGCAAGAAGGCCAACAGGACCCTTCAGGCCACTGGAGGATGGATGAATTGGGGGTGAGGGGATCAGTGATCTCTCCAGGGGTTGATGGCTCACTCAACTCTGGATCCAAGTCCAGAGACTGTTCTCTGGACTTTCTGTTTCTCTGCAAAATGGAAGTGCTGTACTGTGTCCCTCACCCAGATACTAAAGAATTAAGGTGCTGTGCCAGCTCTGGAGGCTATTAAAAAGATTTGGGGCAGGGCCTCAAGCGATGGCTCAGTGGTTCAGAGCACTTGCTGCTCCTGCAGAGGACCCAGGTTTGGTTCTCAGTGGCCATATGGTGGCTCACAGCCATCCATAACTTCATTTCCAGAGGATCCAATCCCACCTGATTTCCACAGGCACCAGGTATGTCCATTGTGTACAAACATACAGACTGACAGACAAAATTCTCCTACACAGATTTTTTTTTTAATGTTTGCTAGGTATCATGGTGCACGCTGATAATCCCAGAACCCAGGAAGAGGAAGAAGGAGGCTTAACAGTCCATTGGAGGCCAGCCTGGGCTGTGTAATCAAACACTCTCTCAAAATCAAGAATTTAGATGAGTGAGGTGGTTCAGTGGGTAGAAACAAGAGGCCAGTCCTATTGACTTGAGTTTGATCCCTAGGGTCCATGTGGTGGAAGGAGAGTAATAACCCCACAGGGTGTCCTTTGACCTCTAACAATGTACACATACACACAAACACACACACACAACTAACCAATACCAGGCAAGGTGGCACATGCCTTTAATCCTAGCACTCAGGAGGCAGATGGAAGCAAATGTCTGTGAGTTTGAGGCCAGCTGGAGCAACATAGTGAGACCTTGTTCAGAAGGGCGGGGAGGGAGGGAGAACAGGAGAACAGGAGAGCAGAGGAGAGCACATGGCTGCACTCGAGGAGGTTTTCAAAATAGCACTCTG